TACGGGGCCGCGTAGGGGCGGCAACGGGGCCGCGTAGGGAGGGAGGCGGCAACTGGGCCGCTAGGGGTGGCGACAGGGCCGCTAGGGGCGGCGACGGGGCCGCGTAGGGGCGGTGACTGGGCCGGTGAGGGTGGCGCGAGGGGCCGTGAGAGGGGCCTCTAAGAGAGGTCGACTGAAGGGAAGCCCACAAGACGCGCCTCGGGCAGGAGCGATTGTCGCTCCGGTCAGAAAAAAAAATGTTTCAGCGGTGGGCCCAAGGAAGCGTTCCCACTAGGGAACCTGCTCTATACCATGTGAAGAAATGAGGAATGAATGAACTAGAAAGCAGGTGGGTACAAGTAGGAAAACCTAAAAGAGTTGTACCCCATATTGTGTACCCCACTACAGCCTACACAGACTATAGCATATGAGTTTGACACCAATCACGGGCGAAGTTGCCTTTGCGACCTAACAGCAGTGGTGTGAAAGTTTGGGAATGATGCCATTCCCGGATGCGTTGGCAAGGAATCTTGCCATTTCGGCGTGATTGACAAAGGAATAGTTGAACAGCTGTATCTAGACATCCGAAATTCAGGGCCTAAACCCGAATCTCCATTAGAGGAATTTCAGCCCAGCCCTCCGATACAAGTCTGATGAGACAGCGCACACGACAGGAAAAAAACGGATATTTCAGTAGAGACAGTTAAAAAAAAACTGAAATTACAGCATACATACAAAAAAATGCTGCCACAATAGCCCAACGTCTCCCCAAATGGCTGAAAACACAGGCTTTTTACCCCTAACCAGCTTTTTTTCGCTGACTTCTGAGGGCCTGGCAATGATAGTTTTAACGCAGATTTTTCAGTTTGCCTTAAAAATTCAATCTGGAAAAATCAGCATAAATTTAACCCCCAACACTGATTTAGTTTAAATTTTATAGTTATATGCTGGTCTTAACCAATTCCAACGTTGATTTGGACACAATTTTGGACACTGCACACTGATCGATCAGCATGCCCTGAAACCAATCTGACAGGTCCAAAATGTTGTTAGAAATGTTAATGTCCAGCATCCAATGGTCTAGTCAATACATTCGGGACTAAGAAGATTTAGATTTCGGGTTCGAATCTTGTCGCCTGATTCTGTCAGATAGGTGCGGTCATCCTTCTTGTCTGCTTCTATTTCGCCTCAATACTTCTGACGAGAAAATACTCGATATCTGCAGTCTTAGACAAACTGTATGAGGCTGTATGAGAAATCAAATGAATAGAAAAAGCTTCTCTGAAAAGTCAGATGAAATTAAACAACATGTCTACGACCAGGGCCCAAAATTGATTTAGGCCTACCCTTACAAATCAGGGTACTAGCCCCTCCTTAACCAGACCCCTAGGGTAAAAATTTTCATACCCTGTTTTCAGCAGGGTAAATCTACCACTAGCCTGATTTGAGCAGGGTAGTTTTAGGCTAAGCCTGTTTTTGTATCTATATTTTGAGTTAACTTATTTTTAATGACATACACAAGTAGCACATTCAGAGTCCATGAAGTCTACACACGCAACACATGCACTAAACACCTACTCAGTGCCACCCCTACTACCCGGGTGGGGTCAAACTCCTTGGTGGATCACCTCAGCTTCTCTCCACGAAAGATGGCGACCACCTCAAACCAGTCGACCTCGTACCGCAACAGGGAGCAACACATCAGATGCTCCAGGCTTGTGTCGCCTAGGCTGACGCGTCCCCAAGTCTTGATCAGATTCTGCTTTGAGAAGCCGCGCTCACATTCAACCGTGCTCAGTGGCAGCATAGCGAATGATTGCCACATCCGCAGGATGTTGGGGAAGGAGACACGCCATGCATCATCCCGCACGAGAAGGCTTGCAACCACATAAACGACAATGACAAAGGCGCTTACCTGCCGCTGCTGGAAGCGTTGGTTGAGGTAGTTTAGTTCCCATAGCACATCCGCAAAAAAGCGGATGAGCCAGTGGAACTTGAACGAGGTAACCACCTCGTACAGTTCTGTCAGTAGATCTGCACTGTGGATGCCCGATTGATCCTACGGGGGGTTACAGGCGCGTTTGCCTGGGGGGTTATGGGCGCACTCTGACCCGCTACTGAAACAAGCCCTTTTATCCCAATGGTCTAGTGGTTGGGATTCTGACATGGTATTAGAGCGAAGGTCTCGGGTTCGAATCCCAGCGTGTGCACTTTGGGCATCCCAGTGCGGGGGGGTGTCAGAGGTCCACTGGTGATCCTCGATTGATCCTAGGGAAGGGTTACAGGCACGTTGGCCTGGGGGGTTTCTCAGAATCCCAACCACTAGACCATTGGGATAAAAGGGCTTGTTTCAGTAGCGGGTCAGTGCGCCCATAACCCCCCAGGCAAATGTGCCTGTAACCCTTCCCTAGGATCGATCGGGGATCACCAGTGGACCTCTGACACCCCCCCGCACTGGGATGCCCGAAGTGCATACACCGGGATTCGAACCCGAGACCTTCGCTCTGATACCATCTCAGAATCCCAACCACTAGACCATTGGGATAAAAGGGCTTGTTTCAGTAGCGGGTCAGTGCGCCCATAACCCCCCAGGCAAATGTGCCTGTAACCCTTCCCTAGGATCGATCGGGGATCACCAGTGGACCTCTGACAGGGTTATGGGCGCACTGACCCGCTACTTAACAAGCCCTTCTATCCCAATGGTCTAGTGATTGGGATTCTGACATGGTGTCAGAGTGGTCTCGGGTTCGAATCCCGGTGTATGCACATGTAGGCCGTTGTCGCTGTGCTCAGTCCTGGGCCTCCCAGTGTGGGGGGGTGTCAGTAGATCTGCACTGTGGATGCCTGATTGATCCTACGGGGGGTTACAGGCGCGTTTGCCTGGGGGGTTATAGGCGCACTCTGACCCGCTACTGAAACAAGCCCTTTTATCCCAATGGTCTAGTGGTTGTGATTCTGACAAGTTCCGTCTTGTAATCCTTCAGCACCACTATGGCAGCAGGGAGCACGTCGAGCAGGCGCTGGATCGCTTCACCACGGGCGAGCCAGCGGGTATCGCTAATCCCCTGCGCCTCATTCGTCTGGCATAATATCCGCTGCATCTCTTGAAACTTCTGGTAGTCCATGCTGCTGCGGCGGATGTGGTCAGCGAAGGCGCGCACGACATCGTCAATCATTAGCAGCTCAGGTACCTCTTCAGCAGCATCACTAGCAGTGAGTGCCTCCCTGTACATAACGGCACGCAGACAGAGGGTAAGTCCATGGAATTTCATGTAGTAAATGCAGCACGGAGCAGCAAAACGGTGACGCATACCGGTGAGCGATACAATGTGTTGAGGCGAGATGCGGAATGCGCATTCGCAGCCGTGTCACAACTCCGCTGTTCTTTCCGACCATCACGCTGGCACCATCAGAGGCGACGCTGGAGATCTTTTGGAGGTTGACACCGATACCTGTGAGATACTGCACGACAGCCGACGTGAGTGAGGCACTGTCACAATAGTCAACAGTAATAAGAGTTAAGAACTCTGTAACCACTGTGGTGCGCTGGGAGAACGTGGTGTAAAGAATGAGGTGCTTCCCATGCACCCAGTCCGTGCTCTCGTCGAGGGAGATCCCTATCCATGGGGATTCAAGCAGGTGCAGACGTTGTGTTTCTTGAAGGTATGTTGAGAGTGCGCGCAGGTTTTCCTTGAATCCGTAACTGCCAGGGGGAAACAGAGGTTGTCAAATCACAGAGTGCATAATACTGAGTACACCAGTTTCACATACACTTGCCACCACTTACTTTGTGTAGTACGCGCCGTAGCCGCCACTGGGAGGAAGGTCTGGTAACCCCTCCTTCGCTAGAAACCAGCACAGCGGGACGAACATCGCTATGGGTGCGTCGGCCTTGCAGACGAAGAGCACGATGTGGAGGAGCCGAATGATGTGACGGGTGGAAGCGTCCGTGGCCTGCCACCGAGTGAGTGTGGCCTGCTTCGCCTTCTCCTGATTCTCCACCGCGTTCTTGTGTGCACGGGTCGCGGAGTGAGTGCGGATGCTGCCAATCTGGAGATCCCGCGCACCCTCACCCTTCGCCCCATACACGGTGTGCGCTAGTGGATCTCCGTGCTTCACACAAATGGTACACTTCAAAGACGGACGACCGTTAGACATGCGGAGTAAACGCAACCATTTCATTTGAAACTACCTGCCCACTGACCGTCAAACGTCTTCTTCACCGACTCGTACTCAGCATTTGCTAGAGGGTTTAGCGCGTGGTCACAAGCGACAACGGGTGTTTGTGGGGGTGTTGTACGATTTGTCACCACTCGAACAATGGTCTGATTCGTGTTAAAAAAGATTCGGTAACAGGGTAGTGGACACCAAACCCTGATTCCGTCAGGGTAACCTAAAAACCTATCAGGGTGAAATAAAACATGCTCTTTTAAGAGAAGGGTAACTATTGAGCAATCCTGATTCCGGCAGGGTAATCCTGAAAAAGCAGCCGCCCCCCAGGGTAATCGGGGTATTTTACCCTGATATTTTGGGCCCTGTCTACGACATCAGATGAACCAGTAAAAACGTGTTCAGAATCCAGAAATTCAGACATAAAATTTATAATAATGTTGGCCCTGATTATGACTATAACATGTACAGCTTACAAACACCACATGAGGAATTCCGAAACACTAGCTACCGTAGCCTACTCAAAGCAGCATAACCGTGTCACGGGTAAATTGGCAGAACAAGGTTAGGGCATGATTGTGGTCAGAGCAGGGACCCGGAAGCAGGCCCTCCAGGCCTGTAACCCGGCATGGCACCTGGCATGCCCATGGCACCAGGCATGGCCCCTCCCATGGGCATTCCTCCCTGCGGGGCCCCAGGCATCCCCCCCACGTGCATGGGCATCTGCCCCCCCATGCCCATGCCACCCGGCCCCATGCCGCCTGGGCCCATGCCGCCCGGCCCCATGCCGCCTGGGCCCATGCCGCCCGGCCCCATGCCGCCTGGGCCCATGCCGCCCGGCCCCATGCCGCCCGGCCCCATGCCACTCGGCCTACCCATGCCGCCGCCCATCTGCATGGGAGGAGGCATGCCTGGCCGTGCCATCCCCATGGGTCCAGCCATGCCCATCTCAGGCCCCTGCATGGGCATGCCCCCATACGGCATGGGTGCCATGCCGGCAGCAGCAGGGGGAGGAGCACCCCCCGGAAGCACCATGTGAGGGGCAGCGGGCGAGGGGGCGAGGGCAGTGGGGCCAGGAGGGGAAGAAACAGCAGCAGCAGCAGGGGCACCGGACCAGGGCAGGGCGAGCATTGCGGCTCCCCCTTGCTGCTGCTGGGCGGCCACTGGGGGCGGCTGCAGCCAGGCCGGCGGCAGCTCACTGATGTTGTCGCTGATAAATTCCTTCAGCCTGGGGCGCGGGGCAGGCCGGGGGCACGCAGGAGAGGGCAGGGGGGGGGAGGAAAGGGAAGGGGAGGGAAGGGGAGGGAAGGGAAGGGAAGGGAAGGGGAGGCAAGGGGCAGGGAAGCACAGGGCAGGCATGCAGGTGAGCGTGGAGGGGTGGCAAAGGAGCCACAAATGAGGTGGCAGGCAGTGAGAACAATGGGGCGGAGAAACAGCAGGTGGGGGGATGAGCAACACGATACAAACTGCATCATTTAACCATCCTTCCCCATGCCCCACATACACCCCTCACCACCCCCAACCCCCTTTCTCCACCCCCTCCACTTCTCCTTCCCTGTCCCCTTCCCTTCCCCCCCCCCACCCCCCCCCCCCCCTCCCCCCCCATTTGTCCCCGCCCCCCAGGGCAGGCCACGCACGCAGCGGAGGCGGTGGGGTCGGAGGAGGCGCAGGTGAGGCGCAGCTGCGAGCGGTCCGCTGGGTCCGTCTCCAGACGCGCCTGGGGTGGTGAGCGGTGATGGAGGGTGGTAAGGGGTGATGGAGGGTGGTGGAATAGGGTCATTTGCATTCACATCTGTCTGCCTCCCATCCTATTTTTCTACCCTACATGCGTGGTATGCATGTTCGAAAGACTTTAAATTTGGTACGGTTTAAAAATTGTGTGTGTGTATGAATTTGATTTAGCTTGAGCATATATATGAAATGACGTCTCTGTTCAAGAGTTTTCTGACGAGCCAAGAATGGGAAATTTCTGATCGTTCGAAATTATGATTGTGATGCGGCAACAATGGGAATTGGCAGGGAAATTCTATATGGAGCAAATAAATTCGGGTTGGAAAACTCGTCACTCTACTGTAGTTGCTGCCAAGTGGTTGGGGGAAGCCAAACCAGAACGGCAAATGTGGCCGATTTGGATGAGGCGAATTGCATGGGTTGGAAAAAAAACCAAGATGAAAGTTGGGATCTTATAGGGAAGGGATTTGGTGTGGTCATGGTATTCTTCGTTGGGAACTATCTGGAGACCTTGACTCTCATGTTTTTCATTATCTCTTACCTAGTTTCTTGCTACTCTGATTCTTGCTTAACTGTTGTGATCAAATTAAGATCAAGCTACAGCATACCCTCAGTGCACCGATAATCATATATCTCAAGCTTAGTTGGTACTTTACGTTTTTTTGGGTCATGTAAACGTAAACTTACGCTTGAGTTTACCTTTACGTTTTCTTACGCGTAATTTTACGTAAAGTCGCACGGGCAGGGCAAAAAAGAGTTTTTTTGCCCACGAAACGAAAAAATCTGACTGATATGAGGTGGGAGAGGCTGCTACATGTTTGTGTAGATTTGGGGCATCTGTAAGTTGATGTAATAATGTGCTAACATGCTTGGGCGTAGAAGAACCAAGCTAGTGATAGATTAGGCGCTTCCCATGCAGCCACTTAGTCCGATGATTTCTTATATTTCCGGGCAGTTAGAACTGTTTCTAGCTGACCGTAAACGTAAAGCCATTTTTAGCCCACGTAAGTTAACGTAAGTTTACTACGTAAAGTCACGTAAACGTAAACCACCGCAAACGTACAATACCAACTAAGATCTCAAGCTATACTTCACTTTCTAGTACGATTCAGATTAGGAATAACACATGCTTTCTTGAAGAAGTTCGAACGGTAAACTTGTCGTCTTTGGCGTTTCTTGTAAACACAATTTTTATGTCCAGAAACTTAGTTTACGATTTTGAGTTATTTCTGCCCTCCTAAAGTGCCTAGACCCAGTCCTTGATTGTAACAGATGAGGGGTGGTGCGAGGTGATGGGGGATGGTGGGAGATGGTGGGGGTTGGGAGGTGTTAGTGAGGATGGGCTTAGAGGAGGAAAGAGAGGGAGTGGAGTGGAGAGGGGAGCCGAGGAACACCAATGAGAAGAAGGGCAAGCCGAAAAGCAGGAATGCAGGAGGGGAGGCACAGTGAGAGGCAGGAAGGCGTTGGGAGGAGAGCACGGGGGTAGCAGCTTACGAGGAGGAGGGTGGGCGGGGTGGTCTCTGTATGCAACGTGCAGCACGCCACTAAGTTGTTGGGGTTTGGGTCCTGGTGCGCCCATGGGGGGAGAGGGGAGCACGGGGGCGAGAGGGACGGGGAAAGGGATGAGAAGAGGGGTGAGTGGGGGAGAGGGTGAGCGAGGATAGAGGGGGATGGGGTGGAAAATGCCAGAAATTGTGAAACGGAGGGGGGGGTGAAAGAGCAAAGGGTTGGTGGTGGAAAGCGGGAGAGGCGGCACGGCGGGTCTGACCAGGTTGGGCAGTGGGTTGATGCGCATGGATGCCAGCAGCTGTGCCAGTGCAGGCAGCGGTAGCGGCTTCACTCCTCTCAGCTGGTGGGGGGAAGGGGCAGATGTGAGGGGGACATGGGGGGGGAGGATGTGCGAGCGAGTGGGTGAGTGTGGGAGTGACGTGAAGTCCTGTTATGGGGAGAGTATTGAGTGAGTGAGAGGTGAGGAGGTGAGAGGTGGCAGCAGGTAGCGGCATGTGGACGTAACATGGGGTATGCAGCAGCAGCACAATGCAAGAAGCCATGGCATCACGCATGGCATGCATGCACATCACATCCACAGCAACATTCCCAGGAACACACCAGCACCCTCCAGCACATAGCTGCACCCCCCACCGCACAGCAGGAGCAGCACATTGGTTCTAGAGAATTTTGTAGCATGCACCACCACTTGCTGCTTGTGCGGCGGCGCAAAGGGCGTCTTTTAGCGAGCAAAGAAGTCAGCAGAGGACAGCGATGTGGGCCGCAGCGCTTTAGAGGCGACTCAAAGGGCAGCAGTACACCCCACCACCCCCCACCACCCAGCACCCAGCACCACCCCCCAGCACACAGCAGCACGCACCACGACTTGCTGTTTGTGCGGCGGAGCAGAGAGGGTCTTCCAGCGAGCAAAGAAGTCAGCAGAGGACAGCGACGCCGGCAGCAGCGCCTTGCAGAGCGCCACGGGCAGGTGCAGGCGCAGCGGCACGCGCGTGCCCGACGGCAGCGTGTACGCCATGTCCAGGCGCGGCGCCTCCCTGGGTACCAGCACTGCTGCCGCCTCCACTGGTAGCTGGATCTGTCGGGGGCGGGACAGGGGAGGGGGGGGGAAGGAATGGGGCGGAGGAGGGAGGAAGATGATGCTAGGTGAAGGGGTGGAGGGGATGAAGGCGGATTGGATGTCGGCGGAGGGGATGACGGCGGAGGTGATGACGGCTGATGGGTTGAAGGCGGAGGGGTTGAAGGCTGAGGGGTTGAAGGCTGAGGGGTTGAAGGCTGAGGGGTTGAAGGCTGAGGGGTTGAAGGCTGAGGGGTTGAAGGCTGAGGGGTTGAAGGCTGAGGGGTTGAAGGCTGAGGGGTTGGGAGATGATCTCAAGAGGGATGTTTAGCAGAAAGATGAGGCAATAGCAGAAAGAAGGATCGGCAAGAGCAGCGTGGGGGGTGGGCGAGAGCAGCGAGACGGGGGGAGAGGGAAGCAGAGAAAGGGACTGAGACTGACCTGGGCGCGGGGGGGGATGACTTGAGGCAGCGGCGAGAGGATGACTCGCAGGCCGGGCGTGGGCGGTGTGGAGGCGGTGAGAGCGGTGAGCGGCGCCGTCTCCTTGTTGCCGAGGAAGAGCACCAGCCGGCCGTGCGGTGGCTTCCACTCACTCTTCACCCCGATCTGCCATGCCATGCACGCGTGGGGTGGACGACCAGCCATGCCAGGCCATGCAATGCAGACGTGGATGACGGGCGGTGCACGGGTGGTGATGGGCAGTCGAAGCGTGGGAGAGCGAGTGGCAAGGTGGTGCAGGGGATGAAGCAATGGGATGAGAGACGTGAAGCAAGGAGGCGGGAAGATGGAGCAAGGCGGTTCATTCAGCGAATCCCAGTATTGGGTAAGAAGGGGTAACTGTTAGATTATAGCATCAGTTGGGTTGTAAATGTGCGAGTGTAACACCCAAACATGGGTGTACACTTTGGGCCAAGGCGCCCCAACCATTTTTGGTTGGGCTCGTCCCAACCCCACTCTGCCACATTTGGCGGGGGGAACCAGGCCCCCCAATAATTGGCAGCCACCTCCAAAACATTATTGGTGGCCACTCCCATTGGCTCACCAATAATGTCGCAGGGTACCCAACCTAGGTCTCCCACTTCTCATCGCTTATATGTACCCACGATCTTTCTAATCAAATCAACTCTTGAGTTCACCTCTCATCCCAACTATGGGATTCTCACATGGTATAGAGCTGTTTTGGCTAACGCCACCTTCCCCCTCCCTAGGAACGTCCAGCCACCGTGCTGTGCTGTGCTGTGCTGTGCTGTGCTGTGCGGTGCTGTGCTGTGCTGTGCTGTGCTGTGCTGTGCTGTGCTGTGCTGTGCTGTGCTGTGCTGTGCTGTGCTGTGCTGTGCTGTGCTGTGCTGTGCTGTGCTGTGCTGTGCTGTGCTGTGCTGTGCTGTGCTGTGCTGTGCTGTGCTGTGCTGTGCTAGGAGATCCTCGGCACCGTGCCACCTTCATGGTCTTTGCTCCCCTTCCTCAGGCTTCCCTTCGCGGCGTTTGCAGCACTTATCCACACCGACCAGCAGGACAAACGCGCGGCCCTGCGGGACAAACGCGCTGACCTGCGGGACAAACGCGCTGACTTGCGGGACGAACGCGCGGACATGTGGGACGAACGCGCGAACCTGCGGGACGAACGCGCGGACCTGTGGGACGAACGCGTCGACCGTCAATCTCGCTCCCAAGGGCATTTCGCCCGTCAGTTTCGCTCCCAAGGGCATTTCGCCCGTCAATTTCGCTCCCAAGGGCATTTCGCCCGTCAGTCTCGCTCCCGAGGGCATTTCGCCCGTCAGTTTCGCTCCCGAGGGCATTTCGCCAGTCAGTTTCGCTCCCAAGGGCATTTCGCCCGTCAATTTCGCTCCCCAGGGCATTTCGCCCGTCAGTCTCGCTCCCGAGGGCATTTCGCCCGTCAGTTTCGCTCCCGAGGGCATTTCGCCCATCAGTTTCGCTCCCGACCGCCAGTTTCGCTCCCGAGGGCATTTCGCCCGTCCGTGTCGCTCCCGAGGGCATTTCGCCCGTCAGTTTCGCTCCTGAGGGCATTTCGCCCGTCAGTTTCGCTCCCAAGGGCATTTCGCCCGTCAGTTTCGCTCCCGAGGGCATTTCACCCGTCAGTTTCGCTCCCGAGGGCATTTCGCCCGTCAGTTTCGCTCCCGAGGGCATTTCGCCCGTCAGTTTCGCCCCCGAGGGCATTTCGCCTGTCAGTTTCGCTCCCGAGGGCATTTCGCCCACCACGCCGCTCCTCACAGCGTTCCTCCACACCTTCACCCTCTCTTCAACACGCTTCCGCCCCTTTTTCTCTCTGTACCTCCTCCTTGAAGCCTTTTAGCCTCCTCACCCCTCACCTTCTCCTCCACAGGGCATTCCAGCCCTCCTCCCCCCTCGCTTCCTCTTCCTCAGGGCATTCCAGCCCTCCTCCCCCCTCGCTTCCTCCTCCTCAGGGCATTCCAGCCCTCCTCCCCCCTCGCTTCCTCCTCCTCAGGGCATTCCAGCCCTCCTCCCCCCTCGCTTCCTCCTCCTCAGGGCATTCCAGCCCTCCTCCCCCCTCGCTTCCTCCTCCTCAGGGCATTCCAGCCCTCCTCCCCCATCGCTTACTCCTCCTCAGGGCATTCAAGCCCTCCTTCCCCCCTCGCTTCCTCCTCCTCAGGGCATTCCAGCCCTCCTCCCCCCTCGCTTCCTCCTCCTCAGGGCATTCCTTCCCTCCTCCCCCCCTCGCTTCCTCCTCCTCAGGGCATTCCAGCCCTCCTCCCCCCTCGCTTCCTCACCTGCTGCAGCCTCCCCCTCCCGGCTGGCGTGCGACCTCACCGCCGCAGCACCTTGGGCTGGCTTGCCTCCTCACCTGCAGCAGCCCCCCCTCCCGGCTGGCGTGCGACCTCACCGCCGCAGCACCTTGGGCTGGCTTGCCTCCTCACCTGCAGCAGCCCCCCCTCCCGGCTGGCGTGCGACCTCACCGCCGCAGCACCTTGGGCTGGCTTGCCTCCTCACCTGCAGCAGCCCCCCCTCCCGGCTGGCGTGCGACCTCACTGCCGCAGCACCTTGGGCTGGCTTGCCTCCTCACCTGCAGCAGCCCCCTTCCCGGCTTGAAAATTCAGGGGTTGTGCACATTTAAACCCTTCTTCTGCTAAGGGGTTGTGTTAGATTATAGCATCAGTTGGGTTGTCAATGTGCGAGTGTAACACCCAAACATGGGTGTACACTTTGGGCCAAGGCGCCCCAACCATTTTTGGTTGGGCTCGTCCCAACCCCACTCTGCCACATTTGGCGGGGGGAACCAGGCCCTCCAATAATTGGCAGCCACCTCCAAAACATTATTGGTGGCCACTCCCATTGGCTCACCAATAATGTCGCAGGGTACCCAACCTAGGTCCCCCCACTTCTCATCGCTTATATGTACCCACGATCTTTCTAATCAAATCAACTCTTGAGTTCACCTCTCATCCCAACTATGGGATTCTCACAGTAACACGGCATGGGATAGGTACGAGATGAGTACCTGACATATGCATATCCTACCATCGTCCCTACCTGCAGTGGCGCTCCCCTCTCAGAGAGGGGCTCTCACCTGCAGGTGCGGGTCCTCATACAGCACGAGGTGACTCAAAAGGCTCTCACCTGCAGGTGCGGGTCCTCATACAGCACGAGGTGACTCAAAAGGCTCTCACCTGCAGGTGCGGGTCCTCATACAGCACGAGGTGACTCAAAAGGCTCTCACCTGCAGGTGCGGGTCCTCATACAGCACGCCGCTGTCCTTGCCCATCAGCGCCCTGAACCACTCCGCCACACTGCCCAGTGGCTGCCACGCAGGTCAGGGTGGGAGGGGGAAAAGGGCGGATGTGGAAGAATGGGAGGGGGGCAGCACTGTCCCCTGCTGTCCTCACACCGGCACTGTGAGGGCATGGCAGAGGCGGATGGAGTGAGGGGGCTGACAGACTGCCCTCCCACTTTCACCAGCCGTTTCCCTTTCCACTCATCTCTCCTTCCCCTCCATCGCTCCTTGCCCTTCTGGTTCCTCCCCCATCCTCCACCCACCCCCACACAGGACGCAGCATCCTCCACCCACCCCCACACAGGACGCAGCATCCTCCACCCACCCCCACACAGGACGCAGCATCTGTTTCACTCCACCGCCGCATCTCACTGTAACTGCACAACAACACACCACCTCCACATCCCGCCGTACCTGCACCACACCATCCCGCCGTACCTGCACCACAGCATCCCACCGTACCTGCACCACAGCATCCCACCGTACCTGCACTGCACCACAGCATCCCGCCGTACCTGCACCACAGCATCCCGCCGTACCTGCACCACAGCATCCCACCGCACCTGCACCACAGCATCCCACCGTACCTGCACCACAGCATACCACCGTACCTGCACCACAGCATCCCACCGTACCTGCACCACAGCATCCCACCGTACCTGCACCACAGCATCCCACCGTACCTGCACCACAGCATCCCACCGTACCTGCACCACAGCATACCACCGTACCTGCACCACAGCATCCCACCGTACCTGCACCACAGCATCCCACCGTACCTGCACCACAGCATCCCACCGTACCTGCACCACAGCATCCCACCGTACCTGCACCACAGCATCCCACCGTACCTGCACCACAGCATCCCACCGTACCTGCACCACAGCATCCCACCGTGCCTGCACCACAGCATCCCACTGTACCTGCACCACAGCATCCCACCGTACCTGCACCACAGCATCCCACCGTACCTGCACCACAGCATACCACCGTACCTGCACCACAGCATCCCACCGTACCTGCACCACAGCATCCCACTGTACCTGCACCACAGCATCCCACCGTACCTGCACCACAGCATCCCGCCGTACCTGCACCACAGCATCCCGCCGTACCTGCACCACAGCATCCCGCCGTACCTGCACCACAGCATCCCGCCGTACCTGCACCACAGCATCCCGCCGTACCTGCACCACAGCATCCCACCGTACTTGCACCACAGCATCCCACCGTACCTGCACCACAGCATCCCACCGTACCTGCACCACAGCATCCCACTGTACCTGCACCACAGCATCCCACCGTACCTGCACCACAGCTGTGGGTGCAGCAGTCTGGTCAAAGAGCGTCAGTGCCATGGCCCCGGCCTCGGCTCCCCCCAAACCACCAGCACCAGCGGCAGCAGCAGCACCAGGAGCAGGGGCGGCCGCAGCAGCAGCAGGGGCGTTGGAGGCGGAGGCAGAGGGATCAAGTGAGAGCAGCTCCCCCAGCAGGTCGCCCACAGCGTTGGCAGAGTCAGCGGGCACGAGGGCGAGCTCGTTGCCTGCTGCAGGGGGGGGCGCGGCTGCTGGCTCGTCCACCAGTGAGGTGGGCGGCTGAGCGGGTGCAGGCTGGGTGGTGGACGGGGGTGGCGACGACGGGGTGTCCTGATGGGAAAGGGGGGAAGAAGGGGGGAGAATTGAGAGGACGTGTAGGGGATGTGTGCGGATGAGTTGTGATTGGGAGGAAGCCATAGGTTGGGTTGAGCGGAGGGAAAAGAGCATGAGGGGCGAGGGGGCAACTATGGCAAGCGGGGAGAGTGGCAGCACGGCAGCATGGCAGCACGGGCGGGCAACATGATGGATGGAGAGCAGTGGAGCTCACATCTGCAGTGGAGCTCACATCTGCAGTGGTGCTCACATCAGCAGTGGTGCTCACATCTGCACTGGTGCTCACATCTGCAGTGGTGCTCACATCTGCGCTCACATCTGCACTGGTGCTCACATCTGCAGTGGTGCTCACATCTGCACTGGTGCTCACATCTGCACTGGTGCTCACATCTGCACTGGTGCTCACATCTGCACTGGTGCTCACATCTGCACTGGTGCTCACATCTGCACTGGTGCTCACATCTGCACTGGTGCTCACATCAGCAGAGGAGGCTGGCTGTGGTCGTCGCACCGGCCCCACACCACCATCAGCAGCAGCGGGGGCAGCAGTGGCGGAAGGGAGCTTGGCGGCAGAGGCAGAGGCGGGGGCGGAGACGGGGACGAGGGCGAGGGCGTTGGCCTGGTGCGCGCGCAGCTTCACTGCGCTCACCTCCGCACTGTCCCCCTCGTTGTCCGGTGCGCGGCGCAGCAGCGAGGACTGGCGGGGGGTGGAGAAGAGAAAGGGGTTCGGGGGGTGGGGGGTTGGCCCTTGAGTGGCCCTGAGAGTCACTGCGCTCACCTCCGCACTGTCGCCCTCATTGTCCGGCGCACGCCGCAGCAGCAATGACTGCCAGCAGGGAGGGACGTGAGGGGGAGGCGATGCAGTGATGGTGGTGAGAAAGGGACTTGCATGAGGGTGAGGAGGAGAAAGATGAGTGAAGCCGGTCGACTACCACCACCCAGCACACTCGCCCTTGCTCTCACCCTGCTTCCTCTCGTGTGCCCCTGGAGTACATGTTGCAGTGTGCCCCTGCTCTCCCCTCCACCTCTCTCTCTCACTATCTCCCCCACCCCACCTGGTGCTCAGGGAACTGGGACATGCCACCAACAATGTGCTCAGGGAACTGGCCCACTCATATACACCACCCTGCTCCTCACCCGCTCCTCTCGTCTCTCCCAAACTCGCCACTGTGTGCACCTCCTTTCCATCGCCTCCCCACCTCCTCCCCACCACCTCCCCACCGCCTCCCCACCTCCTCCCCACCTCCTCCCCACCTCCTTTCCAGCAGGCCTCACCTCGCGCTGAGGGAACTTGGGCATGTCAGCAACGATGTCGGCCATGGCGGGGCCGCCCCTGCGGCACAGCGACGCGTACTCCACTGCGCGCTGCTGCACCTCCGCGTCCACACTGCTCTCGTAGCTGCACGCACGGGGGAGGGATGGGGCGGGGGCGAGGAAGAGGGAGAGGGAGGAGGTGAGTGGCTAAAAGGGCACAAGACGAGGCACCACAGAGGCACCACAGAGGCACCACAGAGGCACACAGCGATGCGTACTCACTCCTGTACCTCCGCGCCCACACTGCTCTTGTAACTGCATACGTGATAAGGGGGAGTGGGGGAGGTGAATGAGGGGTGGGGGGGAAATGGAGGGGGAGAATGCGACAGAGGTGGTGAGGGGGGGCGAAGAGAGCATGACAGCGAGGCGTGCTGCTGCTGCACTGCACCTCTGCATCCCCACTGCACCTCTGCATCCCCACTGCACCTCTGCATCCCCTAGGCTTGAGCAAGGTGGCGAACACCTGTTCGGTTCGCCTCGAACGTGTTCGAGGCGAACCGAACAGGTTTTGTTTTTCAGCTTAAATCGTTCGCCCGAACGTGTTCGATGTTCGCCCGAACACGTTCGTGTTCGTGGCGCTGCTGCAAAACGCCCCGTGTCGAACACGAACGTGTTCGAGGTTCGCCCGAACACGCCTCCACAGGCGAACAGCGAACACCTGTTTTGGGCTAAACTGTTCGCCGAACCGAACACTGTTCGGTTCGGCAAAAGGACGTGTTCGAGAAGGGGCGAACACGAACATGTCCGTGTTCGCCCTTTGCTCATCCCTAGCATCCCCACTGCACCTCTGCATCCCCACTGCCCTCGAAGCTGCAGGGAGAAGGGGGAATAAAAAGGTGGGTGAAGGAGGGGTTGGGGGCAGGGACAATGGCGGGCGATGGGAGCATCAAACAGCGAGGCATACTCCTCTGCCCGCTGCTGCACCACGAAACCACACTGCTCTAGAGGCTGCGGAGAAAAGGGGGGAGGATGGCATTGGGAGGGACGAGGGTGGGGGAAGAGGTGAGCGGGCAAGAGGGCATGGGATGAGGCTGCTTTTGAGTCGACTCAAAAGGAGGTGAGCGGGCAAGAGGGCATGTGATGAGGCATCACAAGGGATATATACAGCGAGGCATGGCACCTACGTGCTGCTCACTCGCACTTCTCCATTCCCTCACCCACCCAATCCCCCACCCCCAACCCCCCACCCTGACAACCCACCAAGTGAATATGGCCATGCACTGGCAGTGCAGGCGGGCCTGACTCGATTCAAGTGGCATCGCAACACCACTCACCCACCCACCCCCCCACCCCCTACCGCATGGCGCCCTTCCCCATTCCCTTACCCAACCCCCCACCCACCCCCCCGGTCCAAGCCAGCCATGTACCGACCGAGTGAAGCTGGCCATGAGGGCGGGGTGGGGGGGTCCCTCACCGAGTGAAGATGGCCATGAGCTTGCCGTGCAGCGCATCGTCGGGCGGCGAGCGCACTGCCAGCTTCACATACGCCGACAGCATGAGCGCGCGCGTGGGGATGCTGCCATGGGGGCCAGTGGTGGTGAGGGTGTAAGAGAAGGGAGGTGGAGGAGCAACGGGGGAAAGGGGAGGGGGGCAAGGAGGGGAGCAAGATGGGGCGCAAGGGTGGGGGAGGAAAGTTTGGGTGCAAAAGGGGGGGATGAAGAGTGGGGGTGGACAAGGTTGGGGGCTTGTGGGGGTCGGGTGGGGTTTATAAGGGAGGTGAGGGAGGGAGGAGTGCAAGAAGGGGTGGTGTGGTGAGAGTGACAGGGAGATGCACGGTGTGAAAAGACAAAGAGAAAGTGAGTTAACCCCACAGCAAAGTCATCAGCTCATGTGCATATTGAATTGCGATGAGAAAAAATGAGAGGTGAGAAGGTGGAAGGAGAGGGGAGAGGGAGAGGGGGGAAAAGGGCGAGGAGAGAAAAGGGGGAAGGAAAGGGAGAGGTGAGAGAGTGAGGGGAAAAAGGAGAGAAGGGAGTGAGTGGAGGGAAAGAGAGTGGAGAAGGGGAGAGGGGGCGGGGGTTTGGTGTTGCTTTCAGTTGGACACACGAGACGGTATGGAACTTGTCATGCAGCACTGCAAAGACGACAAACGTCACCGGGAAAGAGAGTGGAGGGAGAGAGGGGGGCGGGGGTTTGGACGTGGGGGGTTGGACGCACGAGACGGTGTGGAACTTGTCGTGCAGCACGGCAAAAACGTCCGCTGCTGTGGAGCCTGGCTGTTGTGGCAACAGATGGCTGAACTCGCCCAATATGTAGCTGCCCACCTGCCATGCCCATGCACACATGCACACATTCAATAATGTGGACATGTACGCTCGTGCACATCACACATGCGCACATCACACATGCACACATCACACATCACACATGCACACATCACACATGCACACATCACACATGCACACATCACACATGCACACACATGCACACATCCATTGGATAACACAAAGGTGTTAGAATTAGGCTGTCAACACTTTGTGTACTATATTCTATATCGCGTAGGTTATTTGTGGGTTGGGTGTAGTTTGTGATCCCAACCCTATCTGGTTGGGATTCCCTCGTAATCCTGCAAATCTGCCAACTCACCAATTAGAGATTTGCTAGGATTCCCATCCCATCCTTTCCCTAGCCTTGCCCATCCCAACCTCGTTTGTACTTAAGGCCTAGTGCCTTCTTTCTTAATCAATCAGTTCAGTTCCAATTCCGTCAAAAGGGACTAGCATGACCATGGGAAAGGCTTAAAGAAGCCAGAAATTGCGAAAGGAGCAGCAACGTCCTGCGAGCTGGCCATCACTCCCACACGCTCTTCGCAACTCATTCACCATACTCTCTCACCACTGCTTCTCACCTTGACCATGGTCTCTCATGCATGCCTCTCACCTTGACCACGGTCGCAAAACGAGCAGCAACTGCCCACCAGCATGTGACTCATGCCTCTCACCTTGAGCATTGTCTTGTGCATGCCTCTCACCTTCACCATTCCCGTGCACCTTCACCATGGTCGCTTGCACCGCCGGCTTGCGCATGACCTTGAGCACTCGCGAGGCAGCATAGGGCTGCAGGCGACTTTTGAGTCGACCCAAGAGTCACCCTTTCACCATGGACTCATCCGTACCATCACAACATCATGCCTCTCGCTTCTCACCTTCACCATGGTCTCATGCAGCTTCTCACCTTCACCATGGTCTCATGCAGCTTCTCACCTTCACCATGGTCTCATGCCCGCCTCTCACCTTCACCATGGTCTCATGCCCGCCTCTCACCTTCACCATGGTCTCATGCCCGCCTCTCACCTTCACCATGGTCTCATGCCCGCCTCTCACCTTCACCATGGTCTCATGCCCGCCTCTCACCTTCACCATGGTCTCATGCACCGCCGGCTTGCGCATGAGCTTGAGCACTCGCGAGACCGCATAGGGCTGCAAATCGTCGTTGTTGGTAACGATCTGCACCACTCTGTACCACACGTCCTCGCTCACGAAGTCGCCTGCTCGCTCCATGAGACACAGAATCACGTCCACGTACCTGATTCGACGAAGGGGAGCGAGGGGATATGGGAAGGAGGGGGGGGTGACTTTTGAGTCGACTTAGAAGTCAGCTCCATGAGACACAGAATCACGTCCACGTACCTGATTCGACGAAGGGGAGCGAGGGGATATGGGAAGGAGGGGGGGTTGACTTTTGAGTCGACTTAGAAGTCAGCTCCATGAGACACAGAATCACGTCCACGTACCTGATTCGACGAAGGGGAGCGATGGGATATGGGAAGGAGGGGGGGTTGACTTTTGAGTCGACTTAGAAGTCAACTCCATGAGACACAGAATGACGTCCACGTACCTGCCCGTGGGATACGGGGGCGAGGCGAGGGGACATGGGAAGGAGGGGGGGTTGGGGAAGCAGGGGAAAGCGGAAGAGTGGAATGTGGAATAGAGGGAGGTGGAGGTCGGTGCATGAGGCACGGAGCCACATCCACATACCAGGTGAAGGGCGGCGAGGGGGAGGACGAAGGGAGGGGGAAGAGGGGAAATGGGGGTGGGAAAGCGAGGGGTGGGAGATGGGAGAGGAAAGGGTGTGAAGGAGCAGAGGCGGATCGATGGGAGGTGCTTATCACCCTGTACATCCCACCCCACCTCCCCATTTCTCCCTCCTCTCCACCCACCAGGGCAGCTCCTGTTAGATTATACTACTCTTGTATCCTGCATTGATCCTATAAACCCTAGGATAGAGATAGGCACCCAAACTATGTTTGGGTGCACAACTAGGGTTAACCCTAGTTGGGGGCTGGAACCCAACCTTGGTCCAATTATTGGCCTCCAAGGTTGGGTTGGGAGATTATTGGCCCCCCCCAATAATGTTGGCCCACCTTTGGCCAACATTATTGGGACCCCCCAATAATTCTCCAACCCAACTTATTGGTGGGGGGCCAATAATGTTGGCTAGGTAACCAACCAACCCCTCCTGCCCTAGCTTCCACTATGTAAACCCTCATGATTCCTAATCACGTCAATGGTTCAATTCTAACAGCTCCCCCGCGTCCCCCTCTGCATCCACCAAGGCAGGCCGACTGCGAATCTCTCTGCAAGGATGGAGGTCTTGAGGGTCACCTCCTCGCGCATCACAAAGTTCTGCAGCAGCTGCCCCGCTCTACACCCACCAGGGATAAAACAGCCTTCCCCTCCCCCCGCCCCTCTCTCTCACCAGGGCAGGTCGACTGCGAATTTCTCTGCCAGTATGGCGGTCTTGAGGGTCAGCTCCTCGCGCATCACAAAGTCCGCCACCGTCAGGTACTGCCGTGGGGAAGGGCCAAGGGGGAGGCGGGGGTGGGGGTTTTGAGGCGCCACAAACATCGTCTCAGATCAGAATGATGGCGGTCTTGAGGGTGAGCTCCTCCTCGCACATCCCAAAGTCTACCACCATCGGGTACTGCCGTGCCGTCGCCAGGGGTGCGTGGAAGAGGCGGAGGGGGGGGGGAAGGGAAGAAGGGGAGGGAAGGGAAATGGGGGGCAAAGGCAGAGTGGAGAGAGGAAGGGCGGTGGGCAGGAGAAGCGAGAAAAGGCAGAGTGGAGAGAGGAAGGGCGGTGGGCAGGAGAAGCGAGAAAAGGCAGAGCGCCCACCTGCACTGCACACAGACTAATGTTGCTAGCAAGAGGAAACATGTGGGGGGGCATCAAGTGCAGCACTAAATCTATAGAGGAACGTAAAAAACAGAACCCTCACCTGCAGCAGCTGCGCCCCTCACCCCTCATCTCACCTGACGGGGCCAGCATGCTCAAGCCTACTCACCTGCAGCAGCCCCTCACTCACCTGCAGCAGCCTCTCACTCACCTGCAGCAGCCCCTCACTCACCTGCAGCAGCCTCTCACTCACCTGCAGCAGCCCCTCACTCACCTGCAGCAGCCCCTCGCTCACCTGCAGCAGCCCCTCCTACCGACCTGCAGTAGCTGCTCGACGATGAACTTGGCATTGTCGGTGTCGCACAGCCCGTACAGCAGGTCCAGCGCGCGCCGCCGAATGCTGGGGGAGACGCACGCAAGGGCAGACAAGGGCAGGCAAGGGGAGAAGGGAGGAAAGGATGGGGGGCATAGCATTTGGCGTTGTCAATATCGCAGCCTGTGGATGTCGCATAGCCTGTGAAGCACATGAAGGGCTCGAGGGTGAATGCTGGGAGGAGGGGATGGCAGGAAGGGGTGGAGGGGAGAAAACGAGACCATGGCATGTGCTAGGGGATGTGCATCATAGCACCATGCCCTGCGCATCACCTATGAGCATGGTTCCCCCGTACCTGATATCGGGGTCCTTGAGGGAGTGCACCTGATATCGGGGTCCTTGAGGGAGTGCACCTGATATCGGGGTCCTTGAGGGAGTGCACCTGATATCGGGGTCCTTGAGGGAGTGCACCTGATATCGGGGTCCTTGAGGGAGTGCACCTGATATCGGGGTCCTTGAGGGAGTGCACCTGATATCGGGGTCCTTGAGGGAGTGCACCTGATATCGGGGTCCTTGAGGGAGTGCACCTGATATCGGGGTCCTTGAGGGAGTGCACCTGATATCGGGGTCCTTGAGGGAGTGCACCTGATATCGGGGTCCTTGAGGGAGTGCACCTGATATCGGGGTCCTTGAGGGAGTGCACCTGATATCGGGGTCCTTGAGGGAGTGCACCTGATATCGGGGTCCTTGAGGGAGTGCACCTGATATCGGGGTCCTTGAGGGAGTGCACCTGATATCGGGGTCCTTGAGGGAGTGCACCTGATATCGGGGTCCTTGAGGGAGTGCACCTGATATCGGGGTCCTTGAGGGAGTGCACCTGATATCGGGGTCCTTGAGGGAGTGCACCTGATATCGGGGTCCTTGAGGGAGTGCACTTGATATCGGGGTCCTTGAGGGAGTGCACCTGATATCGGGGTCCTTGAGGGAGTGCACCTGATATCGGGGTCCTTGAGGGAGTGCACCTGATATCGGGGTCCTTGAGGGAGTGCACCTGATTTCGGGGTCCTTGAGGGAGTGCACCTGATATCGGGGTCCTTGAGGGAGTGCACATGATATCGGGGTCCTTGAGGGAGTGCACCTGATATCGGGGTCCTTGAGGGAGTGCACCTGATATCGGGGTCCTTGAGGGAGTGCACCTGATATCGGGGTCCTTGAGGGAGTGCACCTGATATCGGGGTCCTTGAGGGAGGGCACCTGATATCGGGGTCCTTGAGGGAGTGCACCTGATATCGGGGTCCTTGAGGGAGTGCACCTGATATCGGGGTCCTTGAGGGAGTGCACCTGATATCTGGGTCCTTGAGGGAGTGCACCTGATATCGGGGTCCTTGAGGGAGTGCACCTGATATTGGGGTCCTTGAGGGAGTGCACCTGATATCGGGGTCCTTGAGGGAGTGCACCTGATATCGGGGTCCTTGAGAGAGTGCACCTGATATCGGGGTCCTTGAGGGAGTGCACCTGATATCGGGGTCCTTGAGGGAGTGCACCTGATATCGGGGTCCTTGAGGGAGTGCACCTGATATCGGGGTCCTTGAGGAAGTGCACCTGATATCGGGGTCCTTGAGGGAGTGCACCTGATATCGGGGTCCTTGAGGGAGTGCACGATCTGGCTCTGGAAGCCCCTGATGTCATCCTGCACGTCTGCCACCATCAACATGCGCGCCATGTTCTCCTGCTCCCACACTCACGCCATGCCACGTCATGCCATGCCCACATGCCATCCCATGCCATTCCATGTCGTCCCATGCCATTCCATGTCGTCCCATGCCATTCCATGTCATCCCATGCCATTCCATCTCGTCCCATGCCATTCCATGTCGTCCCATGCCATTCCATTCCATGTCGTCCCATGCCATACCATGTCATCCCATGCCATTCCATGTCGTCCCATGCCATTCCATGTCGTCCCATGCCATCACGTATCAACTCATCCCAACACATACCATCACGACGAGGCAAGATCAGGAGTTGTGAGCATAGATCCAAGACATGACGTGGAAGTGGCAGCCACCTAGTCAGCCCTCACGTGAGTGCCAACGTGGAAGTGGCAACGAGCCGTCCTAAAAGAGCAGTGCGCTCATGACTCACGAGGTTGGGTTACCCAGTTACCGGATGTTGATCTCCCTCCCACGCGAGCCCATAAGCTTCCCCAGCAGCAGCACAGCACCACTGCGTTGCGCTACTGTGCATGGCATCGTGACCAGCACCTAGTCAGTCAGCCGCCCTCATCGTCGTGCAGTCAGTGCGGTGCAGCATGGTGCAGTGCAGTGAGCAGTGCAGCGAGCCGAGCAGTGAGGCATGGATGGTGCGTGGTGTGGCTAGCGGATGTTGGGCTCGCGCACGCCCACGAACTTGCTTTGAGAAGTCTCAAGCACTTGTTTTACTCACGAGGGCGAGGTAGCGGATGTTGGGCTCCCTCACGCCCACGAACTTGCTTTGAGAAGTCTCAAGCACTTGTTTTACTCACGAGGGCGAGGTAGCGGATGTTGGGCTCCCTCACTCCCACGAACTTGCCCAGCAGCCCCACGCAGTGCTGCATCACCTCCCTCTCCGCATCCATGTGCATCGCCTGGCAGGGGCGGGGAGGGTGGGGGGGTGAGGGGGGGATGGTTAGCGGATATGATCTGTGAGGGGGGGATGGTTAGCGGATATGATCTGTGAGGGGGGGATGGTTAGCGGATATGATCTGTGAGGGGGGGATGGTTAGCGGATATGATCTGTGAGGGGGGGATGGTTAGCGGATATGATCTGTGAGGGGGGGATGGTTAGCGGATATGATCTGTGAGGGGGGGATGGTTAGCGGATATGATCTGTGAGGGGGGGATGGTTAGCGGATATGATCTGTGAGGGGGGGATGGTTAGCGGATATGATCTGTGAGGGGGGGATGGTTAGCGGATATGTGTGAACCAGCAGCACTGCGCCATCACCTCCCTCTCTGCGTCCATGTGCATTGCCTGGCGGCCCGGCCTTGCGCAGAGAGAGGCACGGGTGGGGGGGAGGGGGGAGTGGCAGAGTGAGGGAGGGCAGCTGTTGGGCACACACAGAGGTGACGTGAGTGGAGTGGCACGAGGTGGACTTGAGGGCAATAGGAGGAAAAGAAGGAAGGGCAGAGGGAGGGTTTGTAGGGGAGCACTGGAGGGCCGTACCAGCGCAAGGAGGGCCGTACCAGCGCAAGGGCTTCAAAGAGGATGGCGTGGGCGGCGTTGTTCTTGTTGACATTCTTCACCACCTCCGTGCCCTGCAGTATGCGCGCCAGCACCTAATGCCATGCCATGCCATGAGGGGGGGAGGGGGGGGGAGCATGTACGGTGCACGGTAACAAGGGCGGACATGAGGGAATGAGGGGGCGTGGGGACGACATGAGGCACACGCTAGTCCTGAACATCCCTGCCCTGTAGCAGCATGGTGCGGATAGTGCGTAGGTGGGATTGTACGGGGAGGGGATGGTGGCATGGCATGCAATTCAGCGTGCACTCGACCGCACAATCTAGCATTCTCAAACCTTCTCAAGTAGGAGCCATGCAAGACTTGTTGATTGGAGAGAAGAAACGAAGAGGGCAGAGGCGAGGAGGAGATGGAGCAACATAACAGACCTCGAGCAACACAACAGACCTCGAGCAGCGACTTGCGGATGGAGGGGTCTTCGATGGACGGGAAGTACTGCAGCACCCGCATCGTCTTCACCTGCCGCCCGCTCCCCAGAGGCACATTGTCGGTCGGGGGAGGAGGGGAAGAGGGTGAAGGGGGAAGGAAGGGTTTGAGTCGGCTCGAAACTCGTCTTTGATGGAGGGAAAGTACTGAAGTACCTTCACCTGGGGGCCTGCAGCACAGGGGGGCATGTGTTGAGGGGGGAGGCGGGTGTGTGGGGAGAGAAGCGGATGAACGGAAAGGGGGATGGAGGAACAATGAGAACGAGGGGATGGCACAGCACACACAGCAAGTCGCACACACCTGCAGCCAGGGAGATGGAATGGCGTAGTAGGTGTAGTCCTGCGGGATGTCCACACATTTGGCGAGGCGCTCCAACACCTTGACGCACTTGGGCACACAGCACAGGTACGCCTCCGGGTTTGCTGCCACGAGCGCCACGAGCAGCGACATGGTTGCGAGGAGCACGCTCAGACTGCGCTCCTCCAGCAGACTCGCCATGCGCTGTGGCCTGCAGCAGGGGGAGAGGATGGGCAGGGGGGGGGGTAATGCGCTGTGGTCTGGGAAATGGGGATGAGAAGAGGCAGGGGGGGATCATGCGCTGCACAATGGGTGGCAATGGGTATGGGGGGTTGGCAAGGCATGCCAATGGTGCACTGGGAGGAGATGTCGATGGAAGATGCTGCACCTGGAACTCACCACGTGCCGTTGCTTGTGATGTCGGGCTTCTTGTGCAAGAGCCTCAGCAGGCGACTGTTGGGGCGGTCCAAACATACACTGCTGCGAGGCGAGCCCCCACTCACCACGTGTCGCTGCTGCTGCTCATGTCACTCACCGCGTGTCGGTGCTGATGATGACGTCACTCGCCACGTGTCTGTGCTGATGATGACGTCACTCACCACGTGTCTGTGCTGATGATGATGACGTCACTCACCACGTGTCGGTGCTGATGATGACGTCACTCACCACGTGTCAGTGCTGATGATGACATCACTCACCACGTGTCTGTGCTGATGACGTCACTCACCATGTGTCAGTGCTGATGATGACGTCACTCACCATGTGTCAGTGCTGATGATGTCGGGGTTCTTGCGAAAGAGCCTCAGCAGGCACAGCGCTGCCTTCTTCTTCACCAGCGGCCGCGCTGAGCTCGACAGCTGCCAGTGCGCGCAGGGGGGCAGGGGGGGCAAGGGGAGCAAGGGGGGGCAAGGGGAGCAAGGGGGGGCAAGGGGAGCAAGGGGGGGCAAGGGGAGCAAGGGGGGGCAAGGGGAGCAAGGGGGGGCAAGGGGAGCAAGGGGGGGCAAGGGGGGGCAAGGCAAGCCTGAGCAGGCACAGCGATGCTTTTTTCTTCACCAGCCGCCGCGCTGAGCTCGACAGCTGCCAGTGAGCGGAGGGGGGCAAGCCCAGCAGGCCGGATTGGAGATGAGGGAGGGGGGGGGTGGGGGGATGAATCTTGAAAGGGGGGTGGGGAAATGAATTCAGAAAGGGGGGTGGGGAAATGAATCCAGAGGGGGGGGGTGGGGGAATGAATTTAGAGGGGGGGGTGGGGAAATGAATCCAGAGGGGAGGGGATGGGGGAATGAATCCAGAGGCGGGGGTGGGGAAATGAATCCAGAGGGGAGGGGGTGGGGGAATGAATCAAGAGGGGGGGGTGGGGAAATAAATCCAGAGGATGAAAAGGGGAGGAGAGGCAGGAAAGGGCTGGGGGAGGGCGCGCAGTGTATGGCTATGTTGGAATTGACGCTCTGGAGGGGTTGCGTCAAGCGTTTTGACGCTAGCGTTTTGACGCAAAACGCTTGACGCGCGTTTTGACGCTTGACGCTGGTAAAAAAAAAAATCGGGCAGCCCGAAATCGTGCGGAAAAAAAATCATTCGCGACTTAGCTTCGAAATCGCGACTTCGCTTCAAAATCGTGACTTCGAATGTCAAGTCGACATTGAACACCTCTCACAAAACAGAAACACAAAAACATCCCTCACACCACATTGTACCGCAATGCAACTAGAAGATCCAACCAACTGAAGTTGACAAAAATCAGTCACGCCAATCCAGGTCGTCACTCTGCTTTGCAAGCTACTCGACATAAATTAGGGTTAGATCGACTATCATGTTCCTACAGAGTTAGATCGCCGTTCCACTCCTATTACCCCTTAACTTTCGCCTTGCCACTCCCCTCCCTCCCCCCTTATACTTTTCTATTGCTGCCCGAAAGTTTTTTTGCTGCCCGCCAGAGCGTCAAAACTGCGTCAAAAGAATCAGGATTCTGCGTCAAGCGTCCAGACGTTAGCGTCAAAGACGCTTGACGCGTCAATTCCAACATAGGTGTATGGGAGTGCAATGAAAGGAGGGGGGGAGGAGGCGGGAGTGAATAGGACGGAGGAAAAGTTGAGCAAAGCAGGTGTGGTGTGAGTAAGACATAGCGCACAGTATGTATGCCTCTGCGCCACACACAAGCAGCCACATGGGGCGGGGCACCTGCAAAACCTTCCCTGCCCTACCGAACTTGCACCCTCCCTCACCACCCCTGCCCCAGCATGATCCATCCCGCCGAAAATATCTCAGCGGACAAGCGAGACCGCCCAGGGGAGCTCGCTGCCCGCGGGCAAAAAAAAAACCCCCAGAAGGGCATGCATCCGGTCAGGGAGGCATCAACCCTAAACACAGGGAGGCATGGATTTAGGGTTGATGCCTCCCTAGGATGGCATGCCATCCGATAGGGTTTTAGTTTTTTCCTGCCCGGGGCAGCATGTCGTCAAGTCGTCAACAGGTCGTCAGGCTTGACGACCCGTTTTGGCTGAGATATTCCACCCCATCCTTGCTCCCCCACTTCTCGCCCCAGCCCACGATCCCATCCTGCCCAACCACATCCTCATCCCCCCTCCTCCTCGCCTTCCCTACCAGCAGCTTCTGCACGTCAGGGGCGACGGACTCTGAGAACTCCTTCCCCCCGATGTTGCCCACCTGCCACGGCGGGGAAAGGGGGGGGGAGGGAGGAAAGCAGGGGGGAGGAGGCAGAGGTTGAGGGAAGGGGAGGAGGTGGCAGGGGAAGAAGGGGAAGGGAGGAGGGTGTTATAAATGTATATTATATACAACATACATAGGCTAGAATAGGTGTAGTCCTTTATGTGTTGTAAATGTACATTATATACAACATTCATAGGCTAGAATAGGTGTAGTCCCTTATGTTCTTGGGGGGTTGGGTGTACACTCCAGCCACACTTTGTGGTTGGTCAAGATTGGATTTGGTCTTGGTCCTTGGTTGGCACTTGGTGCCTTCTTCTTCACCATGGTGAGGGCGAGGCATACCATGGTGAGGGCGAGGCATACCATGGTGAGGGCGAGGCATACCATGGTGAGGGCGAGGCATACCATGGTGAGGGCGAGGCATACCATGGTGAGGGCGAGGCATACCATGGTGAGGGCGAGGCATACCATGGTGAGGGCGAGGCACTGAAAGGTCTCGTTGCGGCCGATGATGTCATTCCTGACGGAGTTGATGACGAGGCGCAGGAAGTCGTTGTTCTCGTTCAGCAGACATGACGTCACCATGTACCCCACCTGCCATGCCACGTGTCATGCATGCATGCATGCATGGGCAGGCGCACACATGCACACACACGTGGGTACATGAGCACTTGGGTACAAGCACACACACACAATCAGTGATGCAATTCTTCCTACGTCAGGACACCTGCCACGCCCTGAACCAAGGGAGCCAGCAAGAAGACGCACGCACAGCAGCAGGCAGCAGGCAGCAGGCGGACGGACGCAGGTGGACGAGCAGGTGGGCACGGGGGAGCAGAGGAAAACGGACCTTTTCCTCGATGTATTTGGGCGCGGAAATGGGGGAGGGCGAGGAGAGGGGGGAGGGCGGGGAGGGCGAGGAGAGCGGGGAGAGCGGGGAGAGCGGGGAGAGCGGGTAGAGCGGGGAGAGCGGGGAGAGCACCTGCTTTTCTGCGTATTTGGGGGCGGAGATGAGGGAGACGGCCTCCATGTGGCCGAAATCGACGTCGTAGCCGAGCATGAATATGTAGAGCAGCTTCCACACATACTTCTTCTTCTCGTACGGCGTTAGCTTCTGAGAGCACACGCACGCACGGACGGACGGGTACAGGCACAGAGAGATACAAACATGAACGTGACGATGTATGGCAACTTATTTCTTCTACACACGTACTTTTACTTCTCGTACGGCGTCAACTTCTGAGAGCTCAGACATGGACACGCACAGACGCGGACACGCACAGACGCGGACACGCACAGACACGGACACGCACAGACACGGACACGCACAGACACGGACACGCACAGATACACGCACCCATACGCACAGACAGATGTGATTCAAGTCAAGTCAACACGTGCGATTCAACTCAGTCAAATCAAGAACTGTGAGTCAAGTCAACACGTGCGAGTCAACTCAGTCAAATCAAGAACTGTGAGTCAAGTCAACACGTGCGAGTCAACTCAGTCAACGCAAGGCATGTGCCTGGCAATCCAGCTCTCCACACACAGTATCGCCTCGCTTCTTAATCGTCACCTTATCTACGATCTATCAAGCTGACCGCTCTCATCAGGCTATCATCGTGGCTTTACGATATGCGGGGGTTCGATCTAAACTGAATGGCCTAATCCAACCATGTCGCGGCGCATCGTGAAAGTTGATGCCTAGCATTCGACTTTCCAGACTTTTACGACCCTACTACAGCGAGTTGACTTTACGAAGTTACCACTGCGAAAGACCACGGCCACACCGCCGTCTTACACGTTCAGCCTTGAAATGCGTGCGAATGTTCGCGAGTTCCTTGTCGACTCGTAGTCGCTCCTGCTCCTTGTTCTGACAGTTTCGAATATCGGATATGAACACCGACAAGCCGCGCATGCTAGAGGTCGCCATGGCGTCGAGCCGGCTAAGAGCAACCGGGATTCTAGCTGATAGCACGACTGGAACACAGGATGATCATGTGACATTCCTGGTGAGCAGATCTTGAGAGAAGTGGAGTTCTGGAGGGCGGGTCCAACTCGTCACAGCTGTGTCAAAATTTGTCAGGTAACCATCTGTTGTAGGGTGACCGCTTCAGACTTTTGACAGCCTAGTTGTTATGAAATAACTTACAAAGTGTGCAGAATAAAGAATAACGAGCCTCTGAAATTACTAAATGTCATACAATGAAAAGTGACGGGTTCAAATAAGGGGAATCCTAGGCAGGCGACGACGCCGGACGAAGGTGGCTCGGCTCGGAAATGGTTGCGATTGGTGCGGGGTTGGGTGCGGAATTTTAGGCCAAACTTGTTGGAATAACCGAAATGTTATTATAACTTTCACGAAGGCTCTCTCCTAGCGCGCCACTTCATAACGAAGCAGCGCCACTGTACCAGTACCGCAATAGCTCATTTAGAGCATGCGGCAGCTCGAGAGTTACTCCAAGGTCAAAAGTCGAAGTTAGTCAACGGTCGTGACTGTAGATCATCCAGTAACACTACTCAGAGGTTATACACTGCAGCATGGTTGACGACAAATGAGAATGGATGAAATGAACTATGAAACAGTTGGGTACAAATACTAACCCTAATTGGGCTCTACCCCTTATGGGCTACCCCACTACAGCCTACACAAATGTATAAGCTATAATGTTCTGACACACCCCCATGGGCAAAGTGGGGGAGAACAAGCGGTCACAAGACCAGTCAAGCAAAGCAAACCAAGCTCAGGGTGGATCACAAAGTCACCACACAGTCCGAGCACAAGAGTGAGGCCACAAGGCTGTCATAACTTATAGCTTATGCTTTTGTGTAGGCTATAGTGGGGTATCCCATAGGGGGTACAACCCAATTAGGGTTGGTACTTGTACTCACACATTTCATAGTTCATCATTCCTGTTCTTCAACTTTCACATGGTATAGAACAGGTTCCCCTGTGGGAACTTCGCCTAGGGCCCACCACTCGATTTTTTTTTTTCCTGCCCGAAGCGCACTCCTTCCGAGTCGCGCCTCGGGCCTTTCTCTCACCAAGCCGCCCTAACGGCCGACCCTTTGATCGCGGCCCCGCCGCCCTTCACCTGCACGGCCCCGCCGCCTTCACCTACGCGGCCCAGCCGCCCTTCCGTCGCGGCCCCGCCGCCTCAGCAACGCGGCCCCGCCGCCCTTACCTGAGCGGCCCCGCCGCCCTTACCTACGCGGCCCCCTGCCGCCCTCACCTACGCGGCTCCGCCGCCCCTACGTCGCGGCCTGGCTGCCCCACCCTTCGCGGCCCCGCCACCTCAGCAACGCGGCCCCGCCGCCCTTACCTGAGCGGCCCCGCCGCCCTTCCCTACACGGCCCCTGCCGCCCTCACCTACGCGGCTCAGCCGCCCCTACGTCGCGGCCCCGCCGCCTCACCTACGCGGCCCTACCGCCGCCCTACCTGCGGCCCTTCGCCGCCCTACCTGCGGCCCTACCTGCCGCCCTACCAACGGCCCTACCGCCGCCCTACCTGCGGCCCACCAGCCGCCCTACCTGCGGCCCTACCGCCGCCCTACCTGCGGCCCTCCGCCGCCCTACCTGCGGCCCACCCGCCGCCCTACCTGCTGCCCACCAGCCGCCCTACCTGCGGCCCACCCGCCGCCCTACTTGCGACCCACCCGCCACCCTACCTTCGCGGCCCAGCCGCCCTACCTATGCGGCCCAGCACCGGCCGTGCCGCCGAGCAGCAGCCGAGCCGCCCAGCAGCAGCCGAGCCGCCGAGCAGCAGCCGAGCCGCCCAGCATCAACCGAGCCGCCCAGCAGCAGCCGAGCCGCCCAGCATCAGCCGAGCCGCCCAGCAGCAGCCGGGCCGCCCAGCAGCAGCCGAGCCGCCCGGGAGCAGCCGAGCCGCCCAGGAGCCGCCGAGCAGCCCAGCAGCAGCCGAGCCGCCCAGCAGCAGCCGAGCCGCCCAGGAGCCGCCGAGCCGCCCTGCTACCAGGCCGCCCGACCTGCCCTGTCTGATGAGCACGGTACTGCCCCGCTGCTACTGCGTGCCCTTCCCACTGCTTGCACTGCTAGTCTGTCGTCATGGCTACCCCCAGTGTCATCGCTTTTGACGCTGAGGGTCGAGCCATTGACTTTGAGGTCTGGGTCGACGACCTGCAGTTGTTTTTACAGTGCGATAGGGCGGACGGTCTTTCTCTCTTTGACCTCACCTCTGGCGCCTCTCCTGCTCCTGCTGCTGATGCTGACCCCACTGTTCGCTCTCAGTGGGCCACCCGCGATGCTGCTGCACGTCTTGCTGTGCGTCGCCACTTGCCCACCACTGAGCGCGCGCACTTTAGTCAGTACAAGAGTGCTCAGACCTTGTACGAAGCCGTCGTTGCGCGCTACTCTTCCCCTGCCACTGCTCCGCTGAGCCGTCTCATGCTACCGTACCTCTTTCCTGATCTCACTGCCTTTCCCACTATCGCTGACCTCATTACGCACCTCCGCACTTGTGACACCCGCTACCGCGCTGCCCTTCCTGCTGAGTTCTGCGCCAAGAACCCCCCCCCCCCATGTACATCGCTCTCTATTACATAGTCACTCGCCTCCCTGACTCCCTTCGCGTAGTCAGGGACCACTTCCTCTCAGTCTGTCCCACCACTCTCACTGTCGACCTCCTCGAGAAGGCCCTCCTAGCGGCGGAGAAGAGTATAGTCGCTGTAGGAGGCTCTCGTGGTGACCCGCGCACCCCCATCTTTGAGGGGTGTTCTCCTTCCCCCCTGCTGCCCTCTGTTGCCTCTGCTGCTGCTGCCGACCTGCTTGGTCTTGAGTCGGTCGGCGCGGCGTCTGCCCCTAGCGGGAGACGCCGCCCTGGCAAGGGCAAGGGGGGCAAGGGTGCGGGTGGAGCTGGCGGGGGCGGTGGAGGTGGCGGTGGAGGAGGCGGAGGGAGTGGGGGTGGCGGTGGGAGTGGTGGCGGGAGTGGTGGCGGTGGAGGCGGCAGCGGCGGCAGAGGTGGTGGCGGCGGAGGCGGTGGGAGCGGAGGCGGTGGCAGTGGCGGAGGTGGAGGCGGTGGTGGCGGAGGCGGTGGAGCTGGTCGGGGTAGTGCCCCGCAGCGGAGCGGCTCTGGTGGTGGTCCGCGGCAGCAGCAGCAGCAGCAGCAGCGTGCTCAGGACGTCCCCACGCCTCAGCAGCTCCGTGAGTGGTACACGCAGAGACAGTGTGGTGGAGGCTTTGGCCCATGCACCTACGTTCTTCGCAGCAGCGACCGCGCGGGTGAGCAGTGTGGGGGTTCCCACTCCACCCGGCGCTACTTTGGCCGCCTGACGGACGCTTGGCGTCAGCAGTTCCCTGATGCTTCTGAGATCCCCCGCTTGGGAGACCTTTCTAGAGCTGGTGTAGCGATCTTTGAGCTAGACTTTGATGCTATCCTTGCTGCCATGTATGCTGTGTCTTTTAGTGATGAGGGTGACTGTTACCGGTGTTTCCAGCCCGACCCGGGCATTGGTACGGCTGCGCTAGGTGCGTGTGACGCTGCTGCGCTCTCACGTGCTGGTGAGGCTGCGCTCTCAGGTACTGGTGAGGCTGCGCTCTCAGGTACCACGTCAGCTTCGGCCTCCCTCACCTTTACGCTTCACTCTGGGGCTTCTCGCTCCTTCTTTCGGGACCACACCACACTCACGCCGCTTGGCCGGCCGGTTGCGGTCTCCCTGGCTGACCCCTTTGGGGGTCCTGTCCTCTCTCACTTCTCCACTGTCGTGCCGTGTCCAGCTGCCCCCTCGGGCGCCCTGTCTGGTCTGTACCTCCCCTCGTTCTCGACGAACTTGGTGAGTGGTGCTGCCCTACAGGATGCGGGGGTTCACCAGTTTACTCCTGCGAGTCAGCGGGTGACCCACTGCACGGACGCATGCACAGGCCGGCACCTGGCCACGTTCTCCCGTCGGCCGGGGTCGAGCCTCTACACCCTAACCACTGAGTCTCCTCCTGTCCCTGTGTCTGGCCAGGTAGCTGCGCCGGGTCAGGTGTTTGCTGCTGCGTCCAGGTCTGGTCCTGAGTCTGCCCCCTGCTCGTGTCGCCTCCTGTCTCACGAGACTCTCCTGTGGCACCACCGTCTTGGCCACCCCTCCTTGCCCCGTCTCAGGGACATGGCTT